AATACTTTTATAGGACATCAACAATAAATCAAACATTATGTACTGTGAAAGACCAGAGCAGTTGGCTACAGTAGTCTGATAGAAGGTAGATATACTGGCCTCTGGATAAATAGTCCCTGAGTGACCAGGGCAGGAACTGTTACAGCACCATCAGGAAGATTCTGGAATCAGTTAAGAGCTCACCAGAAACAAGAGAAAAACACACTAGTCAGAACACCTGCAGTCCATTAAGGACCTGCTGGGGCTAGTTTAAAAGACTTCCATTCAGGAAGGGCAGAGAAGCCAAGGACTGAAGATGTACTGTGGAAGAATGGAAAGGATGTGGTCAGATACCAGGAGGAAGATACTGGCAGAGGTTGGTTGGGGCAGTAGCTCTGAGGAATGCTGCAACTCTGGTGGTGGAGTAAACACTACCTGTTTGCTGTCATTAGGTCCCTGGGCTGGAAACCAGAGTAGAGGGTAGGCCTGGGTTCCCCCCAGCCGTCCCTGCTCTACTAGAGACTACCCCTGAAAGGGGAAATTAGGACTAAAGAGGGGTACACCCCCAAAACCATTTGACTGGCCTGTGATGAAGATGGCTCAGTAGTCTGTGACCCCTCTTCTCCAGAAAAGTAGAGAGGCTAAGCTGAGGGGTCACAGCAAGCCTCTGAGGTAAGTGCTAACCACCTAGAAGCTCAGGACATCTGAGTCATTCATACAAATTATTCTATTAGTAATATTAATAGAATATAGTAATATTGAATATCATTTACCCAAAAGAATACATTTATTCCTCCTTATAATTAAAGTGGCAAAATGGATCACGAAAGGGTTAACACAGGAGATTCCTGTTTTCACCACATGTTCCCAAATGTACTGATTACTTTGTTTTAATTCCTGTGCATGTTTGATTTCTAAACACTAATGCATAATTATTGATGAAATGTGGCCTGTTGCAAAAAAAGAAATAATCCAATTATTTATGTTTAACAATGTAGTTAAATGGTTAGTATCCCAAACCATTATTAATCATAAAAAAAATGTTCTGTATGAATAACACTGTCTTGATGGGCTCATCGGGATTGGAATCTGCCTTTAAAACAACACAGCTGAGTCTCTGCCACTTTGAATCCTCCACTGCAGTTTAAGTCCTTTCCCTCTATTTAGATAAATCTGTTCTATTCTTCCCAGATATATTGAGCTTCAGCCAAATCTTATCCACACTCCTCCTCTTCAGTAGCTACTAACATTTTGACTAAATGAGCAATAAAGGTCTCAAAGAATATTACACAGCTTGCACACAACATATACAAAAAGTTCCAGAATAATGACTGTGCATGCAAGCTCCATCAAATGGAATAATAGGAGGGTCCAGACATTTTGCACCAGAGATTCACCACACCTCCTTTTAGTAAAATGCATGGTCTGTGTTTGCATGGTTAATCGTGAAACTGACATGGAGTTTGATGGGAACTGGACTTGATTCTATTTTTTTCTGGCTAATGCTTACACCAGGGCTACGTCTAAACTGGCATGATTTTCCGGAAATGCTTTTAACAGAAAAGGTTTTCCGTTAAAAGTATTTCCGGAAAAGCGCGTCTAGATTGGCAGGACGCTTTTCCGGAAAAGCACTTTTTCCAGAAAAGCGTCCGTGGCCAATCTAGACGTGCTTTTCCACAAAAAAGCCCCGATTGTCATTTTCGCGATCGGGGCTTTTTTGTGGAAAACACTAATGTGCTGTCTACACTGGCCCTTTCCCGGAACAGTTTTCCGGAAAAAGACTTTTGCCCGAACGGGAGCAGCATAGTTTTTCCGGAAAAGCACTGATGATTTTACATTAGATTGTCAGTGCTTTTCCAGAAATTCAAGCGGCCAGTGTAGACAGCTGGCAAGTTTTTTCCGGAAAAGCGGCTGATTTTCTGGAATAACTTGCCAGTGTAGACACAGCCCAGGGGTGGAGAACCTTAGGCCTGGGAGCTGGATGTGGTCCTTGGCTTGCCTGGATCCAGCCCTCACTTTTGATCCAGCCCTCAATTTTCAGGATGCCCCCTGCATTGGGGCTGGAACACACAAATATACTAGGCTGGGGCCCCCTGGACTCTGGTGTGCAAGAGGAATGTGGGGAGTGGTCTTTTTCCTTCTCAGTTGGGCACCCACGGCAGTGAATTTTTTTGTGTGCATCCCTCGACTGATTTTTCTGTGGGCCAGTGGCCCCCAGCCCAAAAAGTTTCCCCACTGCTGGCTTACACAATAATTCTGTTTGAGCTGTAAAGTGCCTAGCAAACTGCTGGTCCTGTGCAAACAATAAATAGACAATAACTCATGTTTATAAAAGAAGATATTTTAAAACATTTACATTAACACCAGAGTCACCAAACCCAACAGAAACCTCAAGCATACTTATGTCATTCCTTTGTGGCAATATTACAAAAGGGAATTCATGACCATACGTGCCCCTGATCTCTATAGCCACAGAGGTCCCTAATCACAGAGGAATCAATGCAATTTTGCTTTTGCAAGGCTGAGAAACCATCTCCCTAGGGCCCCATATATCATTTATATTCTATGCTCTTGCATGCCATAGAGCTGGGTTTGAGGTTGAGGGGGAGGGTTAAGCTTAGTTATGCCCAATATTCAGGGGGTTCCAGGTGGTCTAAGGAGGGAATAGAGGGATTGGAGAATCTGCCATGATACAAACCCACAAGCAGGAGCTTCAACAGCTACCACACATAATGCAGATACAGAAATAGGCTAAGAGGGGTTCCCTAACTTGAAGGAAAGAGGCAATGTGGCCTCGTGGACAGAGCACTGGACTTAGACTTGGCAGGCCTGGATTTTATTCCTGGTTCTACCTCTGACCTGGTGAGTGACTGCCTTTCTCTGTGCCTGATTCTCCATTTGTAAAATGAGGATAACTATGCTGACTTCCTTTGCAAAGCACTTTGAAAGCTACTGATGAAAAGTGCTCTGTATATTAATTTTACTATTACAACTGTGGTTGTCTCCAGAACAAAGCCTACTTACTGGGACTGTATGCTGGGATCAAGGATTTGCTTTAAAAGCCTATTGTTTCAGGATTAATGATGTATTCAATAATATGTAATACCTACTCCACTTCATTTTGCTTATTAGTTTGAATGTGTCTGTACAATTCAAAACATGCTTTTTTATCTCATCTGAAGAGGAAGGAGGACAATTAAAATAGGCATACGATATATCAAGTTAAATTGACATATATTTTTATATCAGCTTTATTTTACATTGTCTTGATTATAAGCGTATGTTAAATGAAAAATCAAAATAATTTCTAAGAAACATACTTCAGTAATGATTCCCAGAAGGCATTCCTATTCTACTTTACTGTTGAAAAATACAGTAACTATAACAGAATTTACTTTTTTCTTATTAAAGATGGTTTATATCTTGATATGAGCAAAATGAAGATCATTCCCCGGGTCTTTTGAAGAGAGAAATCATATTTCCTTTCTTTGACTGTGCATATGAATATTTTAGGACCCACGGAACATCAGTTTTGTGGTGTAATCTACTGGAGCCAATGGAAAAAACATGTACGGATTATGGATGCCTCCTGCTGGGGCACACAATGGAGGAGATGGCCTCAAGAAATCTGCCCTTCTATGCCACTGTGAGCTCACACAATTGCAGTGAACTCATAGAGATTATTGACTGTTCTTGGTCCCTGGAAACTAAAACACTTGGGCTGCGTCTAGACTGGCATGATTTTGCGCAAATACTTTTAATGGAAAAGTTTTTCCGTTAAAAGTATTTGCACAAGAGAGCATCTATATCGGCATGTGCCTTTGTGCAAAAGATTTGCTTTTGCGCAAAAGCATCCATGCCAGTGTAGATGCTCTCTTGCGCAAGAAAGCTCCGATGGCTATTTTAGCCATCGGGCTTTCTTGCGCAAAAAATTAATGTTGCTGTCTATTCTGGCCCTCTTGCACAAGAATACTTGCGCAAGAGGGCTTACCTCTGAGCGGGAGCGTCAGAGTATTTGCGCAAGAACCACTGATTTTGTATATTACAAAGTCAGTGTTCTTGTGCAAATACTTGCGGCCAGTGTAGACAGGCGGCAAGATTTTGCGCAAAAGTGGCTGGCATGATTTTGCGCAAAAGCAATCTAGACGCAGCCTTGGGTATTCCCCACACAGACTCCTCAGCTGGCCAGTTCAGCATAATGTACAACCTTTTTAATCCACCAGGCCATAATGAAGCCACAGATCTGGCCCAATGTCTCTGAGCACTCTGGCACCTTCTATGAACAAATAAATAAATCTGTGTTTATTTAGTGGCTAGAGGTTAAAGGAAGAGAGTGTAGAGATTGCAATTAGAAAAATGGTAACCCCCAGAATCAAGATCAGAGTAATTTCCCTTTGAAGCCAGCTATATAGCAAGTGACTCCCACACTTAGATGCCTGAGGAAGAAAAACAAGCAGTTATATAATTGATATTCAATGGTAATATCTTTCCACAGAGAAACAATCTGGGAAAGCATTATTTCCACATTTTAATTTTGCAGAAGTAACATTGAATATTCAAAGTCTCCAGAGCATCTGCTCATTAAAGGTTGGGCTCTGTGAATATTTGAATTTATCTTAAGTTTAATTTGGCTACAATAATATTCTTCCCTTTCTCCTATGAACTTTTAATAAAGAGCCAACTCATGGATTTCTAAACGTTTAAAAGTACATGTAAAAATTATGAACTAAAATATGAATAAAAAGGTCTACTTTACTACTACAAGTATAGATTTTTTGTTTACGTCAGTTTTCATTCAATTTTCATTTTGACCTACATATGATAAATCTAAATGAAAACATCTGAGTCTTAAGGAATGACAGATATTGTGGCAATATTAGTTATGCAAGGATTAAAATGATGTTGGGGGTTAAGCCTTATCTCCAAAATCCGTTAACAGACCTGCTACAGGTTTGAAATGTCTCCCCACGTTTTCAGTGTCCATGAGCTACTGACAAAAAATACGTCCTGAAAACACTTACCTCGCTGTCTCTCGCCATTCAGCATCCTCTCCTTCACGCCAGCAAATCTCGTCAAGTTCAGTAAAGAGGTCATGAGGAATGTGTTCCTCGTCATCATCCTCTGTTCCAAGAATAAACTGTACCCTTTGTGATGGGGTGTCTGGGGAGGAAACACAAATATCATCAAAAAAATATAACCAGCAGAGGGGCTGTGATTGGACCAAATTACTAAAGTGCAATTTTTCAGTGAAGATTAAATGTAAAATGATTAAGATCTGTTTATTCAGTCTAAATTACCTGTATTCTAATTAAATAAATATATCCAAAATAGAGAGCATATTTTCACATTATGAAGTATACAGATACTTACGAATGTGGTTTAATAATATCTTACCCAGCCTCACAGGGTAAAATAAAGCACGGGTACAGATTAGTGTCAGACAAGCCAAATACCATGGACATATTTGCTGTAATGTAATATACAAATTTAACTCTGCTCACAAAGCTGGAACACTAAATTTGCTTTAATGTTTTCCATTAAACTTATATTGATAGGTCCCAAAAGCAAATATCTCTCTGAATTTTAAATCTCCCATTATTCACTGACATTAATTGTCCCAATGGACCTGCCTCAATAGTTAGAAACAATATATATAGAGACAGACAGACAGGCTGGCTAGAACAGTAAGGCTGTGTCTAGACTGGCCAGTTTTTCTGGAAAATCAGCCGCTTTTCCGGAAAAACTTGCCGGCTGTCTACACTGGCCACTTGAATTTCCGCAAAAGCACTGACTTCCTACTGTCTGAAATCAGTGCTTCTTGCGGAAATACTATTCTGCTCCTGTTCAGGCAAAAGTCCCTTTTGCGCAAAGCTTTTGCGCAAAAGGGCCAGTGTAGACAGCTCAGATTTGTTTTCCTCAAAAAAGCCCCAATCGCGAAAATGGCGATCGGGGCTTTTTTGCGGAAAAGCATGTCAAGATTGGCACGGACGCTTTTCCGCAAAAGCACTTTTTGCGGAAAAGCGTCTATGCCAATCTGGACGCTCTGTTCTGAAAATGCTTTTAACGGAAAACTTTTCCGTTAAAAGCATTTCTGGAAAAAAATGCCAATCTAGATGCAGCCTAAGAGTAACTGGCACTATTCCCATAGTTCTTCTTCCTATTTATCTTGACTTCCCCTTTTCTTATCATGTCTTCCTGCTCTCTGCCCATCACTCAACCTGTTCTCTTGTTACTTTTCTCCTGTGATCCCTTCCTCATTGCCTAATCAGCTGCTAGATTGTCCCAGAGACAGACTGTTCTTCCCTTATGACTGAGGTTTTGAAATATGAAAGAAAACTGAGGCAGTCATAATGCACTGACTTAATTTGTTTGCTGACTACAGTTTTATTGGTTCAAATGCTGTAATAGTCTTGAAACCTATTTTTAATAAAATCTAGATCTCAAATCACACATCTCTGGCTGGCATTCAATATCTCTAGAAATGTACAGTTACTGTTTCTGCCACTGTACTTCATGGCTAAAAGAACCATCAAGAATTCTTTGGGAGTGCCTGTAAGAGCCATGCCTCATCTCTCTTGCTAGTAGATCACTTCCTCCTAGCTGTTCTATATGGGCTTCCTTCAGGGGAAAGAAGGGAGGGAGGAGACTGATTGCCTCTAATTCTTCTGTCATGCTGCTAGTCAACTGAGAAATGGAGTAGCAGACACCTTGCTGCACAGGTGCTGGGATTAGGAGTACTGCTGCACCCCCTGATTTGAAGTGGTTTCCATTATATACATGGTTTGCAGTTTGGTTCAATGGCTCTCAGCATCCCCACTATAAAAATTGTTCCAGCAGCTCTAAGGTGCAGTCTGAAATGTTACTTTATTCTTAGGTTAAGCAACACTAGCTCTCCCGGTCTGCTCTGCTGTTCTATGAAAGTTTAGTCTTTTTGATAAAGTGGAAATTGATCTGTAATAGGGAGCAGTGTGAAGTACTGATCAGAAGCGATGAGGAGTCCTGTGGCACCTTATAGACTAACTGAAGTGTAAGAGCATAAGCTTTCGTGGGCAAAGACCCACTTCGTCAGATGCATGTAGTGGAAATTTCCAGAGGCAGGTATAAATATGCAGGCCAGGGTCAGGCTGGAGATGACAAGGTGGATCCAATCAAGGAGGATGAGGCCCACTTCTAGCAGCTGATCTGGAGGTGTGAATTCCAAGAGAGCAGAAGCTGCTTTTGTAGTTAGCGAGCCATTCACAGGTCTTTGTTTAATCCAGAGTTGATTGTGTCAAACTTGAAGATGAACTGTAGCTCAGCAGTTTCTCTTTGAAGTCTGGTCCTGAAGTTTTTTTGCTGCAGGATGGCTACTTTTAGATCTGCAATTGTGTGTCCAGGAAGATTGAAGTGTTCCCCTACAGGTTTTTGTATGTTGCCATTCCTAATATCAGATTTGTGTCCATTGATTCTTTTACGTAGGGACTGTCCAGTTTGGCCGATGTATATAGCAGTGGGGCATTGTTGGCACATGATGGCATATATTACGTTGGTGGATGTGCAGGAGAATGTACCAGTGACAGTATGGCTAATCTGGTTAGGTCCTGTGATGGTGTTGCTGGTGTATATATGTGGGCAGAGAAGAAACTTGCACAAGTACAAACAGATATCATCTTTCTCTCCAAATGCAAACGGATGGACATTATACCAAATGG